GTTACTATGTTTTTTTTGTATTTTTATAATCAGGTAGATGATACAACATACGTATTTTATATTTTATAGAAGGAATTTGATCTGAGGAAGTAAACTGATAATAAATATTTAAATAAAGGAGGCATTTCAAATATAAAAATATCAATTTCACTCTTAGAAGGAAGGATAATAAAGGATTTGCCGAAAGAGGCAGGTCAATGTAAGGATGTATAGAGGAAGGCCGGAACTAGAGAGAGATAAATTGGGCACTTGTCCTGGCAGCAGAATTTATAGGGCGACAAATTTTGTACGAAATTGTATTTTTAAATTAAACAAAAAAATATTTATTTCGGCTTTTTGACCATAAATATATTATCTAAAATACTGTTATAAAACTGTTGAGTTTTATCTGACAGGGGGGTGAAACAAAGAGCGGCAAAATTAAGTTTGCCCCTCCCGAAAAAACCTCAGTTCCGGCCCTAGTGTAAAGATCGATATGTTGCCTTCTAGTTTTCAAGGAGGGAATGCAGAAACGATGCATTAGGCGTTCAATGATAGGGTGTTTACTTTTCCTCAGAGTTTGGAATTAATAAGGACGAAGCAAGTATTGTAATTGGAAAGATGGATCATAGGAATTTCAATTGGACAGCATGTTAGAGACTTCAAAGATAAATCTTATAAAATAAGCCATTAATGGCTTCAAACCCATTGGACGTATAACGCAAATTCAAAGAAAGGAAAAAAAAAAAAAGGAAAAGAAATTCTTTATTTCATTTAATCAACACATCTGAAGAATTTTACAAAACTTCAAAAGTTATTTGTAAAACTAGATGGATAAACCATGCACCACAGACTAAACTATTTTCAGTGAACAAAAAAAAAAGTAGAGATGGTATCGTATAGGAAGAAACCAAAGAAAAATCGTTCACGCAAGGTTGAGCAATCGGACACTTGCATGGTTTTTCAATTTTTATTTGTTGATAAAGGTATAACAATAATAAAAATGGAATGCGAACAAATTTTTCTAATGCATATTTGCAAAGATAATAAGCGTTAATGAAAGGTGGTGGGGACGAAGTTACGTCACAGGAATAGAGACGCGGCGACGTCATGGCCTGTCAGTGCCTCTATCATACCCTTGATATTATTATACGTTTTAGCTTAGAGCAGTGGTTCCAGCTTAAAAACTTCCATCAAAGAAATATCTATCCGCATTTTCTCTCATCCTGTCTTCTCTGAATAAAATTATTTAGTTTAAAATGTATTTTATCTTTATCTTTCTTCTTCTTTCTCTTCCTCCTCTTGTACCTTTCAGTGTGGAGATGCCTCGATCCACATATCCTAACTTTTTCAATATTGTGCTTCATTGAGGCTTGTCCTTAAGTTGCATACATATTTTCTACGTATGTTAGAGATGTAGTCCATCCATTATAATCTAAGTCTTCTTCTTGGGCGCTTTCCGTAGGCCATGCTTCCATGAATTTTCACGCATTACTGTTTTCATTTATCCGACATGAATGCCCAAACCATCTCCTCTTCATCATAAATTAAAACCTTTTCTAGAGAATCCTTTAAATTTATTATATTAGCTTCTATAAATGGATGTATATAACTAGAGCTGAAAGACATTTTGATAGCATCATGTTTGTATAAGTAACGCTACCAAAGTCTCAGCCCACACCTCCGGTACGTATTGGTATTACATGTTTTTAGCTGAGTATGAATCTTTTTTTATTATTTTAAAAATCCAATCTTAATGTATATATGTTCTTTATCACTTAAATTATATCGCAGCTCAAATTGACTATTTTTTCCAATGAAAGTGCCCAGTTTTAAGCAGCAAGGATCGGCAATGTACTAGAAATAAATTTTGTAGATCATCAAATTTTATTATTGCCCATAAAGAAGTCCTATATAATAGAGCTCTAATCCCTCACATCGCTACGGTTCAAGAAAACGTTAAAGTGTCGTAGGGCCGAACTTAATCTGTAACGATAAATCGACTGGATCTGACTTAAGGTTGTTTGAAAAAAAAAATGAAATAAAGTTGTACAAATATTCATAAAAAATAATATAACCATCGGGTTATCGTTCGACTGAAGGAGGATTATATGAGTGTATACATGCCAGGATTTTCTGGAACAATTTTAGAGGTAAAATGTCAGAAAGAAGAAACGTATTTTTGGAAATCCTTGGTGTATAGATGAAAGGGATCATGTTATAAGGATTCAGTGATACCTGTTTTAGCTTTTTCAGGAAAAGAGGAGACGTGGGCGTGGCCGGGGATAAAGAATAAAAGGTAATGGGAGTTAAAACCAGATCAAAGGAGGGGATTGATGGATATAAAGGTAAACGTATTTCCTGGTTATAAAAATAAATCAACAATAATTTACAAAGGTTTTTACTGGTGTTAACTTAGATTTCATAGAAAAATTCTCGTACAGAAATGATTAATCTCTCATAATCGGTAAATATGAACTCTGGATTTTTAGCATTGCGAAATCTGTCAATCTTTCTTATTTTATCAGACTGTTGACCGTGCTACCAGTTTAAATGTGAGAAAATGTATTTAACTAAACATATGCTATAATATTCAAAACAATTAAATCTTGTAAAAATAATCAATATCGTCATTTTATTTGAATTGGAGCCATGGTGGTTGGGTGAGTTAAGTCGCCTGCAAAAATTTTAACCTACGAGTTTAAATCCCGTTCGAGGTATTTAAAAGCAAAAAAGAAAGGATAAAAAATAAATAATATAATCAATAATAAATTAAAATAAATAAGTGTAGTTCCTACTCAATTGCTTAGACCACTACGTCGGGGGTCCGATTCTCGCATGGGGACAATAACGTCCCCACTCTGAGATTCACAGGAAAGTGAGGGGCTCCTGTGTCTTCCGACAACATAGCTCCTGATCCTCCAGATTGGTGCTTGGGCCATGAATTAACCCTAACCCGTAAAAAATAACAGGATGGAGAAGTTTACAAAATGGTTGCCAAACATGAAGAAGGAGTGCTTAGTGATCGCGTCCGGTATAAACCACGTGATCTCTGGATATCTATAAGAGTATACGAGAACCAAAAGATGTCGCCTGGTCCCGTAGTTAAGAATTAAAGAAGACATGTCGGACCAGCGAAACACTTCTGAGAAATAATTTATAAAAATATGAAAGATAATGCAATATTAAACCAGTTCACTTTTTTTTTTGTTTTTTTACAAATAATCAAAAATTATACCTCAGCTGGAATATTGCAGTTGTTAATCATAAGGAAACTTAAACTGTTACATAGCTTTCCTAAAAAATATAAATATATTCCTCTTCCTTTACATTTTCAATAGATTTCCGATTTTTTGTTAACTATAATAAATAGGAATATTTTATTTTTTCAAACCTAAACAAACCCAGGAAGAAAGGTATTACATAGCAACCGTGCCATCTAGGAGGCTTTCGAAATGAAGACGGTACATGTTTGAGCTCTAAAATCTCAAAATTTCGGATTTCGTTCATTACATCCCACAGTTAACAAGATCTCCGAGTTGATGATCATATTTCCTCAACCCTCAGCAAGAAATATTGTTCCAGTGGATTTCTGGACATCCAACAAGCTTTTGACCGAGTATGGCACACCGGTCTGCTTTTCAAGCTTAAAATCCATCTACCTGTGGTTAAGAATTTCCCAATCGTTTTCCAGACAGGTGACGTCTTGGGTATCTTCCTTTATATCCTCTTCATCGCTGATATCTCTACCCTTACCCATACCATACCCCATTCTGGCAACATTTGGTGACACCACCATCCTAACATCCAACTCAGATACTGAAATAGCCTCCTTCAAACTTTAAAGGTAGTCTCTCTGATTGGAAATAGGTGTAATAATTGGTTGTAATAAAGTAAATGAATCTAAGTCCAAAAATGTCATCTTCCCCGTTCGAAAAAGATAATATCCGCCAATTCATTTTAACTCCATTCCGCTCCCCATCTCAAACACAGTCCGATAACTTGGCTTAGATAGAAGACTAACAGGGAACCCACATACTAGATTCAAAAGACAAGAACTTAACATACGATATGGCCAACTATACAGAATACTGACTAGAAAATCTCAAATTTAAATTGACAACAAATTTCTAATTTAAAAGACAATCCTGGAACCCATCTGGACATATGGACTTGAACTGTGGGGGACCGCTAAAGTTTCTAATTTCAAACGCATCTAATTCTTTCAGTCTTAAGTCCTATGAACAATATAAATTGCCCGATTATATGTTACAAACACAACCTTACACCGTGACCTTAATATCTTATTTGTGCTAGACCTTATCCCAGAATAATTCGCCTAATTTCACCAGAACCTTAGTTATCATCCAAATTCTCTAGCACAATTCCTAGGAACACACATTCTTACAGTCCTCCTAGAGCATTGAAACGGGGGAGTTTTGGCAATATTCATATTCTCCAATCAAGATATGAATGTATGTGGCTATAGCTCTCTCGCTCAATCTCCACTGGCTTTAGGACCAATGACACGGTTGAGGGAGATCTCTGCCTTTCAGAGTCCTGCTTTTCTCTCCACAAGTGGGACAAGCATGGTTTGGAGTTCCGTTGTCTGATTGTAGTGTATATAGGTAGGTAGGTCTGTGTTATTTTACCTTACTTATATTTAAGTTTATTTTATTTTTATTTATAATTGTAATACATCTGTAAATACCATCAATAAATAAAAAAATTATTATTTTTTTATTTTTTATATTTTCTGGAAATTCTGTGTGAAAGTATTCTTTCTTCACCATAACCATTGTTCATATTGTGACAGAATGGTATAATACTCAATAAATAAAGGAAAATAATTTATTTCAGTTTATGCTCTTATCATAACTTAATTTAGTTCATAGGAAAATACATGCATGAGAAGTATTACGAAGGTATAATATCTCAAGTTTCAACAGGAGCGTAGGGGGTTTAATCTGGAAGTACACATTTAGGAACACCCAAGAACTATTAACGTTCCAGAAATGGGGATGTCTTGTCAGTTACGCGTCGACAAAGCAGGATTGCGGAATGTAAGGAACGCCTTCCAAACTTGCCTGGGGGAGAAATGGTAGGGATTTGAAGGGCAAATCCGTTCCAGACTCCCCCTCGATCACACTTTGTGTAATGGAAGGCAATAGTAAGAAACATGTTTTTACGTCCTTTATCCTTTTTTTGCTATAGGTTTCGATAATACAATAATATTACTATATTAGGAGCGATTTGGGCTAACTAACTCATTGAAGAAGAAATATGACTAAAAAACGCTTACTGTCTGGTCTGATACAACGTCCAAAATGTTCGCTTAAATAAAATAATCGATCATAAAATATTTTTCTAAATCTATTGAAGGTACAAAAATAGGTCCAGTATATGTACAGGTATCATAACACGTAATATCTTGATCCAATTACACGGAATCACCTTTGATTACCAAGTAAATACTCCGATTTCCATAGCACATCATGCAGCTCTACCAATATAGTAGTTTGTTACTTATTAAGTTATTCTTAAGGATAAGTTTATCCAAATAAAAAAATGATCATTTTTTTTTTTGTTTCAGGTTATTGTGCGATGTCTTGAAGAGTTCAGTAAACTGCTATACACTGCTTGTATCGTTCCATGGGTATTACAAGAACAAATCATCGACGTTTAAATATTATACGGAAGAAACTTGTATACTTTATCTTATACCAATAACAACCTATTTTACGTAGTTTAATAGTTTTTTACCTAAGCTAAGCTTTAATATAATTATTCTTGTTCTGATTTTTCAACGCAAATGTTCTGTTTGTGTAAGGAATAGTGACTGTATTCATCACATATTTCTAAATTGGTATATAGAAAGCTTGTGTCCCTAACCCAGTCAATTATATCAAAAAATCATATAAATAATTTAAATTAGTATTGTCAAGGATTTACCAAAATTCATTGTAATCATTTCAAACATAATATCCGTGAATTATTTGAAATATCGCGAAATCTAGGGGCCAATATTGAAAATAATATTTTTGTGTACGAAACGCCTAGGTGCACTGTTTCAATATAACCTCATTTACCTCCATAAGAGTTTTTAAAATTATAATTACATCTAACGAGAAAAATGTTTTTAAAAACCCAAAAGACTTCTGTTTAAAACAAAAAATGATACAAGTATTTTCATTCCGACGTTCCGATCTAAAGTGTTTTTATTCATTTCTAAGTCACTTTCCTATCAAATTTAATGAAAGCAACAATAAAATTATAAATAACAATACAATTTTAATACTGAACAACTTTATTTAATTGTTAATTCATATTCATCAGTCCAAAAGACAATTACTTTGTTGAATAATTAAACATCGTTTTAAAGTATGTTTATATATTTAATTTTGTATATATATTATGAAACAAATGTTTTTTTTATTTCCTAACCAAAACATAAGATAAGATCATAAAATAATTTTTTTCGTTTAAGAAACAAAAATTAATAATTACTACTATATCCAAGCAATTAAAGAAAAATCTTTTATTACGCATCCAGCCGGAGTTTTGATTTAAATAAATAATTAGGATAAATAGTAAAGAATTAGGGAATGGTTGCAATGTTACAAACACAAACATTCTCTTAAAAATGGCAAACGACTAACCAGCTTACATTTTGCCAATTTAGGCATATTCAGGAGATATAATACATCTATTCAGCCATTGAACATCGACTAACTAAAACAGAAACATCGACTGGAAACAGTATCTCGCTGTACTACAAGAAACCTCGGAAATAACTATATTTTCCATATTACCCAAAATCCTTAATTATCCTTATACAACTCCTGATACTCCGTGATTTCATTCCTCAAAACACTAGGCAGCTCCTCGTAAACTCCCTTGTTTTATCCCACTTCAAATACGGTTCTTGGTCTATGGAGGGATGTCTACAAGACTGGAAATGAGATTGAAGAGACTCATGATTTGTTTCATAAGATCCATCTTTGGCATACCCAGGCGTTCTCATGTTTCCTACTGGTACTCCAAGTTGAAGTGGCAGCATCCTACTTCCTGACGCTAATTCCTGCTTGGTGTTTTCCTTTTCCAATTCCTCAGAATCAAAGATCCATCCCACATTCTTCTAATTACTCTCATAATACCAGATTGCAACCTATTGATTGATATATCCCCTCCCATAAAACCACTTCCTTCAGCAAATCTTTCGTTATTCGTGCAATTTCCTTTTGGAGTTTTTGTTTTTATATATTAGGTAATTATTATTATTATTACACAATTTTGAAATCGTAGCGTAGAACTCCATTATTGTTGTTTTGAAAATATATGATTTTGTTTTTTCCAGAATATAATAAATTTTTAATTATACTTAATATACTTTAACTCAGGTCGGAACGCCGAAAAAAAAAAAAAACCTGTACCACTACAACCCATGAAGGGTCTGGGGTTCAGTACTATTTAGGGAAAGTACTGTTTCTAGGTCAACAGTTGTGCAAGGACGTGATTTGACCGAGATCACGCTCAACCGCCAGGTTTTCCCCCTTAATCAATTATTTAATTAAGGGTACCCACATTATAGAGGCTGGGTGTGCCCCAGGAGGGTCTTCCAACCCAGGGTCGCCCCACGGCCAATGAAACAGATAAATAAATTTTCTGCCATGAGCCGGGGTTCGAACCTGGGACCTTTGCATTGGAAGCTCAGTGCCCTACCACTGAGCTACCCCACTCCCGGAACGCCGAATAAATAACAAATTTTTGTTTATGACTTGGAAACAGTTGAAAAACTACCAGAAAACTATTATTATTACTACTATATCGATTAATCAATAGCGTTATTGACTGCCACCCATCCACATAATGAACAAAAATTTTGAAAATTATATCAATTATTATTAGAAGGATTTGATCGGGGGATGCGGTCAAATAAATACTAAATTATAGAAATAATATTATTTAATTTTTTTTATATATATATATATATTTTTTTTATTTATTTAAGAGGCATAATAATAAAATAATACTATTTCTATAATTTAGTATTTATTTGACCGCACCCCCCGCTCAACTCCTTCTCATATATATCACGGTCAACCATCTCTACATCATTATATCAATTATTATTATCTAATTATGGCACTCCTATCTCCCTGACCCTTTTGGCAAATTATTATTTGTTCAGTAACATGAGCCGTGGATCGAACGTGACATTGGGGATCCTTCCTAGGGTACTCCTAGTATAAGTAATGTAGTTCTTAAGTTTGTGGGCTACCTTAAGCCTTGATATTGCAATTTGTTACGAAATCGCGAATCTCGTGAATAAAGCCATGTAGTGGCACACATTTTTACTGTCTACTTTTTTAATTTCTTCTTTTGTAGAGGTTCCTCCCTCCACGGCACCCTTCAAAATTTGGAGATAGTGCTTTCAATTCTTTGGTTCGATACTGGGGATTGGGTCCATCCAAAATAGTTTAAGCTTTTCTAGAGGGCGGCGTTCGGGGGACCTAGCTCCTAAAAGCTTTTGTTGATCCTGGTCTTCAATTATTCGTCGCAGATGACCGATCTCCGTTGGCTCTTCCCGACAATGTCTCTCAAGGAGGATACTCCCAGGTTCCTTCCTTTCCTCTCATTCCCGACTTGATCTCTCCTTGTTCGAAATGCCACTGATACTTCATTTCATTCAGCAGCGGTAGATCTACTCCAGTGCTTGTACAGCTTGACGTAACTTTCTCATTCCACAAGAAGTATTAGGAGATAGACGATATATAGACTATCGCTTATCCCTATTATAGTAAACATGAAATTTGAAAATAATGGTTATTAAAAAAATTATTTAAGTTTATTTACAATGAAACATCATTACTTCATATAGATATGTTTGATAATCTAAAAAATAAATTTTACTTTCCTAAATGTATATTTAGATTTCAAAGTAGGAAGAAACGTTGTGAAGGCGTTGTATGATTACTACGTCAATCTGGGAGTGATTGAACCATATTCGAAAAACAAAGTAGAGAAGAAGAAGGAGAGAAGGGTTATTTGCAGACTGGACCGTGGCCTGAGGTGCAGGAGTGCTCCAGCAAGCAGAGTCGCCGCGGTGCCTATCCTCGAACTCCAACTCTGCCCAGGATCTAACCAGTGGACACGCAAGCTTAGAAGTCAACAATCCATCAGGCAAACGTATTCTAAAATATATCACTTAAATTAAGGTTTAGATAGAATATAGATATACTATAACTATCATCGGGAGACCCCCCTTAGGGCATACGCGTACCTAGCCTCTGTAAAGTAGGTACTCAAACTAATTAAATAATTAATTAGGAAGAAAAACCAGGTACAGAAGAGAGAAACCCTTTATTATCATAAAACGGTGCTGCCCAATTACATTGGGTTGCTAAAAACACAGCATACTTATTAATCATTACAGACAATTTTTAAAATAATATATAATTATACAGGATTAACAATATTTATGAGCATAGTATATAATATATATATATATATATACATATATATTGTATACAATATATATATATATATATATATATATATATATATATATATATATATATATATATATATATATATATATATTATTATTGTTATTTTTTTTTTTTGTATATCCTTTTTTTTTTTTTTATTTAACATTTATTTCTCATGCTCTCAACATTCTCTCACATCCCTCTCTTTATCTATCTTTTTTTCCATTTTCCATTAAATAAATAAATAATTACATAAATTAAAACTCTCGGGCTAGCCATGCAAGTGGTGGTGAATGATTTCCAGGGAGTCGAGGACTATATTTTCAGCCAACCTCGCTAAGTCATTAATGTCGACACCTAGTTCCTCGAGGAAGCTGCTTGTTCTTTTTGGAATTGTTCCGCGAAACCCAAACCAGAGGCCTCTCACGGTGAACTATCTCTCTCCGAAGGTCTCACGGAATTTCTCTTTTAGGGAAGGGATACATTTATCGTACGTGTTCTTCTTTTCCCTTTCCACTTCACCCGAATAATAAACAGAAGCAATATAACAGCAAAGTAATAATCAAAAAGTAAATGGGTGATTCTCAGATTATGAGCAATTTTCATGATAATATTTTAATAATTTTGACGGCATTTGGATAAAATTTTCTAAATACCTACACCTTCTATTGCCGCTCAACTATTAATCTGGGCTTTTGCCTTTGGATAAGCAAAGTGTTTTGTTCAGTAATTAAAGTAAGTAAAGCTAATAATTTGGGTGTGTGAATGACACGAGTTTTCAACTTGGTAATGACATTTTCACGTATTTTATTCGGCAAAATCCGCTGTGTAACTAGTATAAAACTTTTTTTTTTTTCTAACTGACTCGCTACAAACCATAGTCAAAGGTAAATTATAATGAATGAAATAATCTGAACAGGCAGCGAGATAATATACGCGGTGGTAATGACAACAATAAAGGTACGCGCTCACCATACAAGAAAGGAATGCGTAGAGTGAGGATATCCTGGTGGTTATCCTTTAATTCCATGTTAACTACTACACTATGAAGAAATTTCCCCACTGTTCCCTCTTTTCAACGCTTAAATATCTGATGTTATTTTTTGCTTGGTAAAGACATCAAAGTGAAAGGACAATGTTTGAAAATACATAAACATACTTTGAAATGCCTCAATTAGGAGTGGAAATAAATTTCACTGTAATTTTAGATAGGTTACAAAAGAAAAAAAAATGTTTACTGGAAAACTGAGAGTGGAAAAATATGTGCTAATGACATTTTAGTAGCTTAAGTAATTATAAAATCACGTTGTTCTTTAATATTTTAATACTTCATTATGAAGAAATACTTCTTCGCCGAATAACAGAAGAAAAAAAATCAAGTTAGACTTAACTAATCACGTAAAAGTTGTAATGGACTAAAACTTGCCCCTAAAATGAGAATCGCCCATATACAATCAATAAAAATAAAATAACTTAAAGATAAGTAAATTAAACAAACAAAAAAAAAACATAGACTATTTACAATCAGGCATGGGAACACCCAGCCAGGGTTTTCCCTCTCACTACAGCGGAAAAAGTAGGACTCCAGGAGATCCCTGCGCTAATCACTCTACCGCGTCACTGGAACTAAAGCCAGTGGAGATTAAGCCAGAGCGCTTTAGGCACATACACTCATAAACTTCTATTTAAAACTAAAATGAAATCTAATTAACTCAAAAGTTATTGGTCTTAAATAATCTCGCGTTAAAAATGTGTAACGTCATTTTTTTTTTAAATTCTAAATAGGGCACTTATTAAAAAAAAATGGACATGAAACCTTGTTAAACAAAATAAATAAACAATATATTTTAGCCTTTATTTCATTAACTCTTTTTAATTAAGAAAAACAAACGACGGATAGGGAGAGTGGATGGTGGTAGGATTATGTCACTTGACGAGTCCAGCCAATGTGTTATTTAGCCACTTCAATCCAAATTCAATAAGCCCTGAAGGATCGAAAGACCATCAGCAAATTGGATTTATTCCATCTATTCCATTCTAGAAAATCCGATAATTTTATAAGTCCACATGTTGATAAAATAGATTCAATATATTTAGAACACATGATTATATTGATTATTCAATAATTTAACTGGACGTGGTTGTATTATTATTTTTATTCTAACGATATAATGAATAGTTATAAACAAAGAAAATTAAGCTAAATATATACTAAACATTTAAACAATAAAAATTAACTCGACAGACAGATTTTGTTTTACATATTTTGAAAATCAAAATTTTTTTTCTACTTATTGTAATATGTCCACTTAAAATTTAAATAAAGTTTTCTATGAAGAAATCATTTATATATTATCAATTCAGGCTGAATAAAAATATGAAACATTTCTAATATGTTTATTTTATTTATTTATTTGCATTTATACTATCATGGTTATTATTTTTAAAATTTATATATGTATTTAGTCTCGGTTATATACAGCCACAATTTTAATATTTTCTGAGAAAGGGTGTTTTTTGAAACTTGTTATAATTACAACTTTTATCATGAAATTTGTAAAAACAGAACTGAGAATCATTGTTAATGTTTTCTGGTAACCTAAATAAGTAAGGAAAAACAAAAACATCCAATGGAATCAACGTTATCAACATAACAATAAAAAGAAATAGGAGTTCTATGACCGCCACTGTATATAAGAGTATATATGTGTGTGTGTGTGTGTGTATATAAATAATTGATCTAGATGTGGTTGTACTATTATTTTTATTCTAACGATATAACGAATAGTTATAAACAAAGAAGATTCAACTAAATGTATATTAAACATTTAAACAATAAAAATTAACTCGATAGTTTATCATTCTAAAAAAAAACACAAAACTAACAATTCTTAAAAATATTTATACTTTTTTGGATGAGGAATGTATCGTATTCAAGGAATATATTATTGTAAAACAAAACAACTTTTTATTACATGCTATCTATTTTGAACAAATCAAATTAAAAATGACACACATTTTAACAGATCTTAAGATTTCGGGCTAAAGCCTCCCCCCTCCAAAAAAAAAGGTAAAATATAATTATATTTTATGAAAAAGTATTATTGCCCGACTAATTACATTTAATAGGACTTAAAGAATCACTTAAACACCATTTCATATAGATAGTTAGTTTCTTTTTTTTCTTCTTCTTCTTCTTCTTCGAGAGAGAGAGAAAGAGGGAAAATCTTTCTGGCTGAAGCCCCCCCAAATTAAATCCTGGATCCGTTAGTGACTCTGTACTGACTTGTCCCGGACTACAGGACATTGGAAACAAAGTCAGGACAGAAGGTGAAATTTACTGGGCTGCTCTACTTCGCATGGCCGAAATAGCTGAAGACGATCAAGGCATAGGATTGATAGATAGATAGAAAATAACTTTATTCGGGATAAGGATAAAAGATAAATAAAAATAGTTCATCAAATTCCTGTATGCTCAAATTCCAGTAGTTGCTCTTAAGTGTACCTTTATTTTTTTAATTTTATTTTATTGAGATTTACAACTGTATTACATGGAAAATAAAATAAGTAAATGTGACATTGGTAACATGACATGTACAGCATGAAGAGAAACTACCCATTGGTAGAACTCAAATTAAAGTTCTATATTAGAAGGTCTCGAGGCCATCTTCTTTTCAGACGCCTCGGAGGATTATCAGGGATCGAGGAGGAAGCAAGGTTTGAAACGAGAGGATTCGGATGGTTCTGCAGTTTGTTATGGAAGGAAAGTTATCTGGATTGGGCCAAATCGGAAACATATGGAACATTAAGGTCTTTATAGATGATTTTATTTGTGACAAAGTAAGGAGCGTTGAGGATTTTACGAAGGATTTTGGATTGTAAGGATTGGATACGAGAGGAATTGGTTTAGTGGAGCCCCAAAGCTCAATTCCCTTCCTCAATTGAGTGGAGGTAATTTGATGGGATTTATTGTAATTTATTTTAATCCTCCAGTTTTGACACCATTTTTCAAGTCTTGTGATGCGTGATTGAAGCGTTTGGGATGCAATAGATGGATCTTTATTAACTGATAGGATACACGTGTCATCGGCATAGGTGGTGATGACAGTGTTGGGATGGGTTGGAATGTCAGCTGTATAAACTGTGTAAAGGATAGGACCTAGGATACTACCTTGAGGAACACTGGCAGACTGAGTAAAAAGTGATGAATGAGTATTGTTATGATTGACTTTGAAGTGTCTGTCAGTAAGGTAGGAACGGATAATGAGGAAGTATTTAGGTGGTAGGAATTTACGGAGTTTGTACATCAGTCCCGGATGTCAGACTCTATCAAACGCATGTTCAACGTCGAGAAAGACTCCCGTGCAGTACATTCCGCGCTCCAATGCAGAGGAGACTACATCTACCACACGATGGCATTGCTGAATAGTGGAGTGGGATGTGCGGAATCCAAATTGGTGATCTGGGATAATGTGGTTAGAGTCTAGGACTTGTTAAAATAAATTTAATATTTTCATCAAGGTAATTTTTTTTTTTTTGTTTATTTAATGAAATTTACAACTGTATACAAATACAACTAGTAAATATGCGCAAATTATAAATAATGGCATGTACAGGCTTGAAGAGATACTACCCAGTGGTAGCACTCTCTAAATAATTTTAAGTAAGAAGATCACGAGGCCATCTCCTTTTCAGACGTCTAGGAGGATTATCAGGGATCGAGGAAGAAGCAAGAGTGGAAACAAGCGGATTTGGTTTGGACTGAAGTTTATCATGAAAGGATAGATATCTGGCTCGAGCTAAATCAGCGACATATGGTACATTAATGTCTTTATGAATGGTTTTATTTGTGACAAAGTATGGAGCATTAAGGATTTTACGGAGGATTTTGGATTGTAAGGATTGGATACGACAGGAATTCGATGGTTTGGTGGAGCCACAAAGCTCAACTCCATATGTTCATATAGGTCTTATTATAGTTATGTAGATAAGTCTTTTGTAATTAATTGAAAGTTTAGAGCGTTTGTTTAGTAAGTGTTGGAGCAGTCGGAAACGTCGAGCTCAAGGTAATTTTAAACACAAAACTTCTCTTAACATTTTTTTTTTTTATCAGTAAAATCCCAATTTATAATATAATGACGTTTCGGTATTTTTATTTCCTATCTTCATAAATCCTTTTATTAGAAGTCTATTGAATAACTCGTAATAATAGTTCTTACTTTTACAAATATTACATTACAAATATTTTATTACTTTCAGACACAGGGACAAGAAACGGCACCTGCAACCCAAACCATCTCCTTCACTTTCGATCATCGACTTCAACTGGATGACTCGAGGTGGTTTTGGAGAATCTCCTGAAACGGCGGATGGCAAGTTGTGAGAGAAAAATTTCAAAATCTTCCTTCATGTAAAACAGAAAAAAAAAATTATGTACTGAACTTTTTAATAATCTTTATGTATAAATAAACAATATATATATAACGAACATAAAATTAATTTATATATTCTGTATATGATGGTTAGATCTTACCTTCTGAGTTGCGCGGGTGTGTTCCAAGCGCTATAGCTCTGTTTTAACTGGCACAGTGCCATTGAGTTTCCAATGTCCACCGATCCTCCAGCTCAACTTCTATACTCTAATCCCAAGCTATGTATTGTATGTAGCTATTCCCCTTGAATAATAGGTTTTATTGTTTTATTATAATTACTATTTATCAATATAGAACAAAAAAAAAGATAAAGAAAAAATATAATAAAATAATTTTTAATAAATATAATTTTATATCAGAATCTTTAGTTGTTGGGCGCATTTACCCAGGCGATACTTACCCATGATTTGGCCATGATTAATCATTTATTCTACCATGCTAGCTCAGGTGAGAAGGGGTTAGGTTGGATATTTTTATAAAGCAGCAAAAAAGGTTAACAGATCTATTTACAAAAAGAAATATTTACAGAATTAATACTATATACAATAAAAAGAAATAAAATACAAGGAAAAAGGGAGAATTTAAACATAATTACTATATACAATTAAAGATAAATAGGAAGATATTTAAATAATAAAGATAGTAAAAATAACAAAAAAGATACTTATTCTATATACACTAGTATGGCATGCCACATCTAAACATCTAGAAAAGATAGTCAAGATACAAGAGATCTAAGATGTAAGAGCACATGCACATGCTAAAATATCAATTAGTAATCAGGCATCGGAAACAAAAGAGAGTAGAGTTTGTTTTGTTTCCAGTGCTTTCTTAATCTTGGTTACAATACATAAATTAACTGTTAGGATATGATTAGAAGATTTTAAGCTCGAAGAATCGAGTCTCTAAAATACAATTAAACAATTAGTCGGTCAACGTTTCGTCTAATCAGCCATCTTTGGTACAGAAACAAACGAGATCACTTGAATGCAGATCAAATACACATAGCATCAATCACACATAAACAGTCAAAAAAATTGTCATCAACCAACGATAGTTTGAAAGCTTCTTTACTTTTCTTTCATTACATTTCAGCACTTTTGAAACATAAACTGAAAGAAAAGGAAGGTAACATAACACCAACTTAGGAAACTATAAACTTAAAAAAAAAATGCATAAGAAATAATGAATTTTCGCATTGCTATCCAATTGAGGCAGGTGTTCCTCAAGGTAGCGTATTGGGTCCCGTCCTTTACATCCTCTTTACCACCAATATACCTGTCCATCCCGATACCTTCCTGGCAACTTTTGCTGATGACACCGCCATTCTATCATCCGACTCAGATCCCAACATAGCATCCTTAAATCTCCAAAACCACCTCACCTTGATTGAGCACTGGTGTAATAACTGGCGCATTAAAGTTAATGAATCTAAATGCCAACATATTACCTTTACACTCCGACGCAGTTCCTGTCCACCAGTACACTTTAATTCCATCCAGCTTCCTTACTCAGACACAGTCCGGTATCTTGGCTTTCATTTAGACCGAAGACTAACGTGGAACCCACATACTAGCAGCAAAAGCTTCTAACATCAAACGTATTCAATCTAAAGTCCTTCGAACAATAGTTGATGCTCCGTTCTATGTAAATAACAAAATCCTACACCATGACCTTAATATCCCATTTGTCCTAGATCTTATTCCAGAAAAATTCTCCAAATTTCACCAGAACCTTACCTATCATCCAAATTCCCTTGCACAATCTCTATCCAGCACCACCCATCCTTACAATCCTCCTCGAAGGTTGAAGCGGCAGTGGCCCAGAGACCTTTTGTAAATAAGCATCTATTGGAGTTTTGGCAATGGCCAGATCCTCCACTCAAGCCCCAGTGTGTATGATTAGGTTAGTTCTTTTGTTTATATACATTTATTTTATTTTATTGTATTTATTTTTATTTTATTTTATTGTATTTATTTTATTTTATTTTATTGTATTTATTTTAATTTTATTTTATTGTATTTATTATTATTAAGTTTCTGTATTATTTTTTTTTTATTGTAAATAGAGTGTGAGTGTGCTTTCTCTGAACACTATTATAAATGTCCTTGATGTGACAGAATGTAATATTTCTAAATAAACAAATATATTTCATAAAAAAAAAAAAAAAAAATAATAAAAATAAATAAATTGAATAATTGAAAAATGAATATGTAATTAGAGAGAAGTTGTTTTATTGAAGAAAAATAATACAATCCGCCACAATCTAGGGCGTTGAGCATTATGGCTCTACGTTTACATTCATGCATTTTATATACAATTTAAAATATAAATTGAGAAAAAATAAATAAAATAAGAAGAAAACATGTAAGTAAAAATATATACATTAAAATAAAAGAAAAAAAAATTGTAAAAAAGGAAAAAACAAAATTCAAAGAATAGTAAAGAAGAAAAAAAAAATACTTGACACACATTCATTCCTATGTACAATATTTACATTCAACCCAGGGAAATCAGGACCACGTGAAAGGCAAGGCAGGGCTTAACTAGATCTAATGTTGCCCAAAATCGGTCTTGGTCTTGCACTTTGCAAGACCAAGACCAAGGCCGCCTAATTGTTGCAAGACCAAGACCAGGACTGGTAAAAAAATCGATTTTTTAAATAAAAAATAAGGCAAAATAGTTACTAATACTCGACAATCTTAGTTAATATATGTTAATAATTGGTATAACCAATAAACTTTTGAATTTAACTCCTCTAATTTTTCATTCGAGCTTAATTAGTTTTCTCCTATCTAAAAAATTACAGTAATATCTCTATAGTAATAAGCTAATAAGTAACTGCAAGACTGTTGCGAGAGTCTTGCGCAAGACCAAGACCCTGGACAAGACTGAGTTTGCAAGATCAAGACTCGTATCGGTCTCGCATTTGGGCAACACTAACTAGATCCCAACGCTACTCTCCCAGCCACATCACTGTTTAAAAGAGTGTGTAATTAAGAAAAAAAAAAAGTTATACTATAAAAATATTTGAATTGAATACATGCTTGCATAATAAAAGGAAGCTTATTGAAGTTCAGAAATCGATATATTAAAACCTTGTAGGTATGCTAATGGCTGAAATGTGGTCCTGGACTATTACTTCAATATTTACAGCTATAATAAAGTGTGTCATTGCGCAATTTGTGCCATCAAGAATATTTTGGAGAACATGTTTTTACAGGGGTATGGATTTTTGAGGAGACCGCATTACAGGTGTTATGAATTTTGAGGGGAAACCTTATTTCTGGTGGGTAGCAATTTGGATGAACTTGTAATATGAGGCAAGTATGATTGTATAATATTTATGTTTTTACCTAATTATATTTTTGCTTGAACTGTTTTTAAGAAGAGTAGAGCAATTAAATTTATTGGAAGGGAGAGAGCATGCTTTAGCGACTTCGAGAGGATAGACACCCCTGAACAGCTCTAAGCATTGTTCTTCATACTTTACTTTCGAAGAGGAATAAACACTTAGTACACGTTCTTGACAGAGGCCTGTTTTCTGAGATGTATATTAAACAATCCTTATAAGCGTTTTTTAAATAAAGGCCTTGGTTTTTCTTGATAACCGACGATTTCATAATTTGTTCGCCATTTCAAAATAACATTAACGTCGGCCATAACTGTTTTCTGTGCTTCTGGGCCGGTTATGCTATCTGATTTGGAGACTGAACTAAGGAACATAAAACTGAATACTTTCAACAATATTAGAAATTGGTTCACCTATGCGACGTCCAGCAGTTTCTAAAGCAAGATAGATTGCTCCTAATCCCTTTTTGCTTTTTATTCAATTTTTATTTCATCCGCATATTTTAGTATCGAAGATTACTTCGTCATAATTGTTATGTTGACCAGTATTCCTTAACTTTTAATGACCTTTTCGAAGGCAAAGTTACACAATAGGCTTTTGTTTCCAGACCCTGGTCCATTCTATTGATCTTGAATACTTTTGACAATTAATCCATAATCCTTATCAGGCTTTTGAACTCTCTCATCAGTAGCTCAACTATGTTCATCAATTCTTTGTGGACCTCCTTTTATTCTATACCTTGATACTGTTTGCCCTCTCGTAACTCTGCCATAAGCACTGCTAAAATCTACAAAAAGATGGCCATTAACAAAATTGCACTCTCTAGCTGTTTTCATAAGAGAGATCATGGAAAATTGTTATCAATTCACGATCTATTACTGATCAACCCACACTGTTCAATACCTATTTCTCTTTGGGAGAGGTGGAATAGTTTGACATAGACTATACTAGAAATGATCCGGTGTTTTGTAATTTTAGTTATTTAGTGCCCTTTCTTATTATAGGAGTAATACTCCAATCGACAGAAAGAATTTTACATAACCAAATAGTATGAAGAAGATCACGGCCTCGTTTCTTCCAGGCCTCAGAAGTTCAGATGGGATGCCATCCCACTGTTGTTCTCAATTACATTAAGACGCACACACTCTTTGTTTTGAGCATTTGAAGTTGGATTTTTTCCAGGACGAGGATTTGAACAATTCAAAGCAGGCTGCTGAAGAGGGTTAAACCACCACAACGATTCCTTCTGTATTCATGATAAATTGTTCGTTAAACGCAAGATTGAAAATTCTTAATTGGAATGAGACTGAAGAACAAGCGCTTTAGATACATAAATTTCAAGTCACTTTTTTTAACAAGATGCACACATGTGATAAACACATGCTTCATCATCAAAACTATGTAATAACTTTTTTTTTTTCAATTCAAATGACACAATCTTTCATTTAAAGGGGATATGTCATTGTTCAGTAAGTTAACATTCATAGCATATTTACAAATTAAAGACAAATGAAAAAAAACAAAAATGGATATGAACTGGTATTAAATGAATTAAACTATCTTTTTTTTTTCAAACATTTCTTTTTTGAGTAATACTAC